CTTTGCCAAGACCAGATCTCACTGAAGGATTTGGGTGTCAGGCCCAGGAGGCCATGGAGGACTGTGAGACAGCATTAAAAAATACTGATCCTTGAAAAATATTAATCTGAAAAGAATACACTGGTGGCAGGCACCCTTTAGAGCTCTGGCCTCTGGCCTATTCTGTTCAACCTCAATACTGATGGCTTGGTTAGACAAAGATGACATGCATTTTGATCAAATTAATCGAAGACACAATGTTTGGAAGGTTTGTGAACCTGTGGATGACTTAATCTGAAACCAGATGTCTCAAACAGCTTGAATGATTCCACACCAGAGGATATTTACCGGGGAAAATATAAATTCCATACTCTGGCTCAAACAACCAATTGTACAAGAGCAGGATGGAGGAATATTTAGCCTGGCAATAATATGTGTGACAAGAGTCAGATTATGGTTACAAATGTCACTGGTCCACAATGTGACATGTCCACACTGAGAAAACAGTGCTGATGGAAATGGAGAGTTCTAAGAGCCCTGATCATCTTGTCCCTTTCAGTCATGGGCTGACTACAAAAGTTGTGTTCATTTTGGTGAAGATTTGAAGGTAAAAATTAGCTGGCATGAGTCCAGAGGAAAACATCCAAGCCTGGAAGATCTTTTGGTTGATGATTTTAGGGTTACTATACCCAGAAAAACATAAGGACTGTCTTCAGATGTTTTGAAGATAATTGGTAGCCTAACACTTATGTTTATGTTGTATGGAGTGATGAAAAATGGGTAGACATTCCTGGAAAGCAAATTTCAGCCCAGGTTCTTGATGAAACCTCCAATGATGGGAGCATCTCTGAAGTGGAAAGGGCAAATAATAAGCTTCCTCTCCTGGAAGTGAGGATGCAGAGAATGGTTAACACTTGCTGGAAAGATTGTAGAGGGATTTATAGATTAGATATTGTTTGAGCTCAAAGGCTTTTCCAACTCTTAGGTTTTTTTTCATTCTAGAGGAAAAAAAAATCTCTACACTGCACTGTCTTTGAAGCCCGGAAAAGAACATCTATAAATTTGAGCCCAACCTTTAAGTTGTAAGTCTTGTTGGGGCAGGCTCTTTGACTTGCTGTGATGACAGTGGAGTCTTTCTGTCCCTCATCTGGACTTTTCTTTTTGTAGTCTTAAAAGTCCTCTCTCTCTCTCTTTTTATTTATTTATTTTTAACATCTCCTTCCTCTGTTTTCTGGGCCACTCACTCAAAGACACCCCATAAAATATTTGCCCAGGAAACAAGGCACCTTCCAATAAAAATACCCATAACCTGGAGGACAAGACACAAAAGCCTCATTTCCCAGCTCTGAGCTTTTGTTAAAACCTGTGTTATGACTGGGTGAAATGAGCTGGCCTCAGAGAAAAGGCCAGAAAACACAGGGAATCCTTTTGCTGATTGGCATCCTCTGCCATTTGTGACTCTCCATAACCCATGTTGTTGTCTCTGGCCACCAGCACCCGTCAGATGTTTTGCCAGCTTGAGTTGAGTCTGATTTCTCATGCCAGGTTCATCTCGTTGTTGCTGAATAAAGGAGGTTCCCACCATCACCATACTCCTTCCCTCACCCCTAGGAGAAATCTTCCTCCAGAGGCATGGGCGGCCATATGGCTGAATGGGTTCCTGCTCAGAGGAGGGGAGGGGAGGAAGAAGATAGTGCATGCCCTGAGCAGAGATCCAGCTCCTACTCCTGGTTTCTTCCAAAACCTGCCTGTTAATCACCTGTTTACATTGCCCAGCATGCTTGACTGGGTAATGATAGTAGGGGAAAAAGCAGTGAAAGGAACATCATAGGTTTTACTCAAGTGAAGTAATCCCTTCCTGATTTACAGGCATTTCAGTGGCTTTGGTGCAGACAGAGTGGCTGGTCTCATTCTTTTCACACCAGTGGCCAGCAGCCCCCAGAAAGCAGTTGGACTCTTTGTACCCCTTTGATGTCCCCTCTCGGGTGATTTTCACGTGGAGGGTGGTGCCAGTGGGCTTGGTTGCAGTCTGCCACCCCACCTTCCTAGTTAGTGTTCCCGCCTGCTGTTTCAGATGACTCTCAGTAAAATCAGACTGATGGTGCCTGCACCTGTGGGTATGATGTGAGGGACACATGAAGACCAGTTTGCATCAAGTCTCTTCTCTCACTGGCCTGCTCCAGTGCCAGATCCTAAGATACCACAGCTGAAAGGGAACTCAGAGGTCATCGAGTCCGACACCTTCATTTTGGCAATAAGGCAACTAAGGACCAGAGAGGTGAAGTAAGTTGCTCAAGGTCACACAGCTAGTTGGTGACAGGGACTGCAGCCTCAGCCTTTTCATTCCCAAACCAGGGATCCTTTTTCTCTCTTAGGTTAAAGCATTTCCCCTTTTTAAATGAATATATTTATTTATTCAGAAATTCAACAAATATTTGTTGATCTGTGACAGAGATGAATAGAATGTGTCTCAGCAAGCAACTCGTAGACTATGGGGAGGAGACAGGGGATTATACAAATTGACTCAATGTGGGAAATGCTGGTAAATGGAGGTAAGAATAGAACACTACTCTTTCCCTTCTATGGGAAAAGAGGGGAAAGTGCCTGACTTGTGTTTTGGTTTTGGCGATTATTTTATTTTATTTTATTTTATTTTATTTTATTTTATTTTATTTTTGAGGAGAGTCAGGAAAGTCACTAAGGTAACCTGGAGATATAAAATAGCATAGTGACCCAGGAGATAAGCTCTGGAACCAGACCGCCTTCATGTGACTCCAAGCTTTGCTGCTCCACCTGCTGAGTAACATGGGCCAAGTTGCTTACTCTCTTTGTGCCTCTGATTTCCACTCTAAAAAAGTGGAAAAATTGATAATACTTATCTCCTAGATTTATTGCAGGAGTTCATTGAGTTAATGCATGGAAAGCACTTTAAAAGTATATTGGTATATAGAAAAAAAGCATATAGTAGCTATTATTATTTTCAAAAGCTGTATTTGAGTAGTATGCTGAGCAATGAGACAGATCCCTATGTTTCAATGGGGACCAAAGATTTAGAAATGTCAGCATAGTTTCCAGTGAAAGATGCTGGTTTTGCTTGGGGCTCCTTCTAGGGAAACCAGGCACATGGGTGGAAATGGACGGGTACAGTCTGGAAGCAATTGGTGCGAAGGAATTTGGGGAAGAAGGAAGCCTGAAGCCTGGTATTTCTTTTTTCCTTCATGGTTTTGTCTAAGTTGGGGCTACAGAGGGGTGAGTATTGTTCAGTTGAATGAACAGTGAGGTATGGCAGTATTTGAGGCTTTGGGGGAGAGTGGTCGTTTCTGGGTATGGCTTTTGTTCTAAAGGAGCTTCCTTCCAGAAGTGGGGAGAAGTGTACCCGCAGACACCTGTGCCCTGAAGAGGTACAGCAACGAGGTTTCTCTTTTGGGAAAGAGGAGAGAGACCAGTATCTTACGATGTTGTCATCTGGTTCCAGTTTTCTCTCTTCGCCTCTTTAGCATCTCTTATCTAATTGTTTGCTTCCTGAAAGCATTTTTCTCCCAAGATTAGATACCCAGAGATGCCCTTGGGTGTAGAATCAATTCAACCAAGCAGATTGATTCCTCTGAACATGAACCCTTATATGTGTGATATCAGTGGTCCCCAACCTTTTTGGCACCATGGACCAGTTTCATGCAAGGCAGTTCTTCAACAGACAGGGGTGCGGGGATGGTTTAGGGATGATTCAAGCACATGACATTTATTGTGCACTTTCTATTATTATTACATTGTAATATATAATGAAATAATTCTACAACTCACTGTAATGTAGAGTCAGTGGGAGCCTTGAGCTTGTTTTTCCACAACTATTTGGTCCCATCTGGGAGTGACAGGAGACAGTGTCAGATTATCAGACGTTAGATTCTCATAAGGAGCCGCAACCTAGATCCTTCACATGCGCAGTTCACAATAGTGTCTGTACTCCTATGGGAATCTAATGCTATCGCTAGCTGATCTGACAGGAGGTGGAGCTCAGGAGGTGATGCGAGCAATGGGGCGTGGCTGTAAATAGGATGAAGCTTCGCTCACTCACCCACCACTCACCTCTTGCTGTGCAACCCAGTTCCTAACAAGCCATGGACTAGTACCAGTCTGCAGCCCCGGGAGTTGGGGACCCCTGTGTTAGACCATTTCATTACGGGCTGCATTCTTTTTTGGAAAATGAGGTAGTTGCCGTGTATGGTTCCTAAGGTCCCTTCTTAGCACAAACATTCTTGTTCTTGGGCCCTGACATTATGGATTTTACACACATGGTTTTTGCTACTTGCCAGGGATCTGGGAAGGTCTGTGGCACCCAGTAATTTATAATTCTGCTGAGGCAAGGATTTGGCAAGAAGTGGTCACATGGCTGGTGAGTCAACCTAGCTGATCACCCAATCTCCTCACTCAGTTCCTGGCACTTACTAACCGAGGTTGCAAAGGTCTCTGATCTTCTCCTTCAGAATGTTGAAGGTTGGCTGTTGCAGGATTTTCCCTTAGATTTAGCAAAGAAAAGTTTTTCTGCTAGGGCTCATATTTCTCTCTTCTTCCATAGAGGCTTTTATTTAAAATATTAGGAAAGAAAACTCTCCATACTCAACCACCCACCTCCACACTGGCACAAATCCAGCCTCAATCAGAACCCTCAGCTCACCCCGAGACGGGCTGTGGATTTTTCTGCCAGGCAGGTGGGATGGGAATGGGAGTTGAAGTTTGAGCAACTTTGAATTATGGCAGTTACCAGGATATATGATGTTTTGCTGCTCTGAATTAAGTGGGCTGGAAGGATCCTCACTCTTCCACACTCTATCCTCCTCCCAAATGAATTTCCTGTTTGTTCGAGGTGCAGGATCGACGGCCCAGGAGACCTTGTGTCTCCCGCCACCTGGGCACGCCAAACAACGGTCCATGTCGGTGGCTTGGGGCATGTCTGTGGAAAGTGGGTACAGACCACCTTTGAGGGAGAGAGGGGTGGTTGTCTGAGGGTCCTTTTAGGAGCTCACCTTCCTTTGCCCATTTCCTGTTTTGAGTTTGGGGATGGGGCGCTGGGGATGTAGCAGGCTATCCTGTTCACCCTGAGTTGCTATCCTTCCTTCCAATGTCTGAAGAAAAAAGAGGAGAGTGGGCTTGAAATTATGACAGGGGCTAACACTTATTTTGAATACATGAGGTAATTTTTTTTGTATTTTTGTTGACTTTATTCTTTTAGTTGAGGTATGATTAACATAGATGAATTATGTGTTTGGTTCTGTCAGTTTGAACAGTCATGTCCACTCGTGAAACCACTACCTAAAGCAAGTTATAGAACATTTGCATCATTCCAGAAAGTTCCTTTTTGGCCCTTTCTAGTCAGTTGTCCCCCACCCCGGCCTCCCATCCCTACTCCCGCACCTCTACCCAAAGACAGTCACTTTCTGGCTTCTATCACCATAGTTTATACACAGGGCAATTTTAAAAAGCATATATTCACTGCAACCTATGTAAATCCAAAAAGGATTACAGTTCATATGGGACTGTTTTTAAAAAAATCAGAAGGCTGTAGTTAGGAGCAGCTTTACCCCTTAACTGGAGCAAATCTTTGATGATGATGGGCCTTGGTGACCTGATCTCTAAAACAAGTATAATAATAATTCCTACCGGGCCGGGTGCAGTGGCTCACGCCTGTAATCCCAACACTTCGGGAGGCCGAGGCAGGTGGATCACGAGGTCACGAGTTCGAGTTCGAGACCAGCCTCACCAACATGGTGAAACCCCGTCTCTACTAAAAATACAAAAACCAAGTAGCCAGGTGGGGTGGTGGGCGCCTGTAATCCTAGCTACTCAGGAGGCTGAGGCAGAAGAATTGCTTGTACCTGGGAGGCGGAGGTTGCAGTGAGCCGAGATCACGCCATTGCCCTCCAGCCTGGGTGCCGGAGTGAGACTGTCTCAAATAATAATAATAATAATAATAATAATAATAATTTCTACCACATAGCAGAAAATGATAATAATAGTTGCATACCTTTATTGACCACTTCATTCTTCTGAACATTTTACTTCATTATCATATTTAATCTTCAAAGTGACACCTTGAGATATGTACCATTTTTGCTATTTTAACACATGGCAAAACCAGAGCTTTAAGAAGGGAGAAGTAACTTGCTTAGGGCCACAGCTCAGTCAGTCATAATTCAAATTAGGAGCCTTCGAGCCCAGGGCTTTAACCCAGAGCAGGTCAATGAGGCATGGACTCTTGTGAACTTAGGTAGCAGCTAAGCAGAGGTCATTATTATTTTAAAAGCAGTATCTATTGGTCAGAGAGCACAGTCTTCCTTTTTTTCTGTTTCATTACCTTTTAAATAGAAAAAAGTCTAGTTTTCAGAATGCTTAACATCAGTGGGTATCTGCAAATTAGAACTGTGGGTACTAAGTTTAAGCCTTGTGCTGCTAACAGGAAACATGAAAAAAATCTGTCAATAAGACTGATGCCCCGCTGGGCACAATGGCCCACATCTGTAATCCTGGCACTTTGGGAAGATGAGGTGGAAGGATGGCTTGAGCCCAGGAGTTTGAGACCAGCCTGGACAACATAGGGAGATCCTATTCCTACAAAAAAAAAAAAACATTAAAAATTAGCCAGGCATGGTAGCATGTGCCTGTGGTCCCAGATACTTGGGAGGCTGAGACAGGAGGATCGCTTGAGCCCAGGAGATCAAGACTGGAATGAGCTATAATGGTACCACTGCACTCCAGCGTAGGTGACAGAGCAAGACCATGTCTCCAAAAAAAAAAAAAAGTCTGATGCTTCCTTTACTAGTTTCCTTGCCAGAAAGGCATTATGATGAGTGTATAATAAAATAATATTATTTATAAATATAAACAACAATAAAACTAAATAGTGATATAATTTAAATTTTTATAGCTATCATTTGAGCTCCTAATATGTGCCATGCATATGCTCATCATTTGACATATTATTTCAACATGTAATGCATTAGAGGCATTGTATTAGTTATCTATTGCTGCATAACCAGTAACCCCCACATTTAGCAGGTTAAACCAGTAAAAGTTCATTATCTCGTATAGTTTCTAAGGATCAAGAATTCATGTGCAGCTTCACTGAGTGATTTGTGAGATGCTGTCAGCTGTATCCATAAGGCTGATTAGGACATGGCATTCCTAGTGAGCCCAAGGTGGAAATCACAGTCTTTTATAATCTAATTTACAGAAGTGACATACCATCCCTTCTACCATATACTATTAGTCATAGAGTTTGACCATGGTAAAATATGGGAGAGAACTGCATAAGGATGTGAAAGCCCCGAGCTGGGAAAGCCAGAAGGTGGGAACACTGGGGTTAGCTCAAAGGCTGCTTACCATAGGCATAATTAGCCTCATTTTACTGCTGAGAAATGCATCCTCAGAGAGATTCCGTAAGTCATCTACCTAGGAAGTGAGCAGGCTGGGATTTGACCACTGATCTGGTGAACTACACTGCCTGTGTGCTTTCCAGAATGAATGCCCAAGGCGGAGAGTCCCGGAAGAACGAAGCACATGCAGCCCTGGCCTTGGGTGTTCTAGCGTGTTTCTTAGGGTGGCCCCAGTTAGCTGTTTGCTCACAGATACCTACCCTTGTATGGTTAGCATGTCCCTGAAGAGCTGGGCATAAACCAAAGATTTGCAAATTCAATTCGTTTAAAATGCGTTAGAGAAGTTCAATATTTAAGGGACTTCTGCTTATAGCTTCCTGTATCACTTGGTAGTTTATCATTGGCTTTTAAAAAGCATTCAGATAGTGGAGTATACCAGTAGTATTGCAACTGTGGGTGAATGAAACTACCCTGAAGGAAAGATTTTGCTTTCCCCTTCTAGGGTAAATGTGGAATCCAATCTTATTTAAAACTATTTTGAGATCCAAGGAGGTTACTAATAAACCATGTGAAAGTCTAGTTATTTGTAAGATTCTAGGTGGTTGGTGTATAGATGGTGTTTTCCTATACCATCCCAAGCCACCCTGGCTTACCACATCCAGAAAAGGGCATTTTTGTAGTTGCCTCCACTGCAAGAGGACCCGACCACTGAGATAAATATTCCTGTCATGACCTACTTAAGGGAATTTCATTTTAGGGAAAGAATTTGGGAAGATCATATGGTCTCTAGCTGGCCCATTAAAAATGTAAACATTTATCTGCCTTTTAATGTCCATACCAAGCAAATAATAAAAGTTTCACATACTTCTCAAACTCTTTTCTTTGGATATCTTGGACTATTTCATAGAAATGGGGAAATGTCACCTTTCTAATCCTGTTTACCAACTCCTTTTTCTTATGAATTTGCTAATCTGTCCTGCCTAGGTTAAGGGAATTTGTTATTCATCCTACTCATTCATTCACTTAACATTTATTTTACACCTGTCCTGTGCTAAAAGTAATAGGTGTAAAATTCCATAATAGATATTAGGGAAAAAAAGATGAAAAAGACTAATTTTCTGCCCTCAGAGAGCTCATAGTTCAACGGGAGATTCAACAAAGAGAAAGATGGTTACAACTTTGATATGTGAGGGATCATGCAGCAAAGAGTAATTTACTCTGGTTAGGGAGTGCTGAAAGCTTTCTCAGGGGTGATGATGCATCTAGAAGGATGAGGAGGAGTTTGCTAAAAGAAGCAGCAAGGAAGGGAAATGAAAGTTTGGGATGGTGGTAGAGGAATGTCAGGTAGAAGAAATCATTCACAAAGGCATAAAAGGTGAGAGACAGCCTGGTCCATTTTGGAACAAGAAAGCAGGCCATAACTGATTTTTGTTTCTCTTCCTTCTGTAGTCTTAGCAACTGGAATGTTTTTCTAGGACTGTTCCAAATCCAAATGTTGTATCATTTGTCCCCCAAACTATAGTGTTTTACAAGGAACTAAAAAATGGTTAGTTCTTCTTATTCTCATTGCCATGACTAATAATGTTTTAAAATTACATTTTTCTGCCTGGTGTTCATCATGACCCTTAGAGAAATATCTGTGACATGTCACATGGGCTTATCATGAGTCAGGTATGGGAATGTCACGTATCAAACTACTTTTGTTAATCAAATACACAAAATGCGGATTCCCTCAGTGTTCTTGAGATTTGCAGCAGTTATAAGTTCTAGTTTGTTAAGAAAATCTCCTGTGCCTGATTGGTTATATTATTATTTCCATCTCTTTGCCTCATTAGGGCCCTGTTGTTAAAAGAAATAGCAAAATAAAGGTCTTTCTCTTTTTGTTGTGGTAAATTGGAAATACCCTAGAGACTGTCAAAGAGAGATGTGAAAATACTTCAGAAATATTATTTCATGCCTTGTGACTACAGGGTGGTGGTGAGGACTCCTTAGTCTGAGGCACTTAGGGCTGCTGGAGGTCTGCTGCCTAGAAATGCACCTCAGGGGAAGACTTCCAGGTGTGAGAGGTTGCCTAGGAATGTCATTCAGGACTTGCAAGTGTGATGGTTAATTTTAGGTGTCACTTGACTGGGCTAAGGGATGCCCAGATAACTGGTAAAGCGTTATTTCTGGGTGTGTCTGTGAGGGTTTCCAGAATAAATTAGCATTTGAATCAGTAGACTGAGTACAGAATATCTGCCCTCAGATATTCGTGCATCAGGAAGGCATCATCCAATCTGCTGAGGGCCCAGTAGAACAGAAAGATGTAAGATGGGCAAATTTGATGTCACTTTGAGCTAGGATACTTCTTCTGTCCATGGGCATCAAAGATCCTAGTTCCTGGGCCTTTGGATTCTGGGACTTACACCAGTACTCCCTACTCCTGGTTCTTAGACCTTTGGACTCAGACTGCATTATACCACCGACTTTCCCGGTTCTCTCACTTGGCTTTTAGAGATGGCATTATGGTGGGACTGCTCAGCCTCCATGATTGTATGAGCCAACCCCCATAATAAATTTCTACATATATATATCTTCTTGGTTCTGTTTCACTGGAGAACTCTAATTCAGCAAGTCAAAGGAGGAAGGTATATTTGCCTTTAGTTTGTCCCTATCACAGTGATTTTATTCCTTCTACTTTAATTCAATAAGCATTCATTAATTCACTTCTAATGGGCCATGAATAGTGCTAGGTGCTGGAAATGCAAAAATTA